CACTGTTTTGTTAAAGAGTAGTCAAGTTAGTAAAAGTATTTATATCTCTCTGAAAAGGAAGGTACAAGCTAGAATTTAATTTCTATGACTTAGAATATTTTTCGGACATACATAGATGTGGACTAGACTATAGAGAAATAATATTACAATTTTAATTAATATTTCTCCATCTTTTTTTAACAATATTCGTAGAGATGCGTATATTCAGCTCTATATGTTTATATTCAATTTTATTTCTATATATATTATATATATATATATAAATTACCCCATTTATAATTATCTATTACAGAATGATTAATTAGACTACTAAAAGGTATATAATTTAGTTATTAGAATGTTGGAATGCTTTTAGATATCAATGGTCCTCATGATAAGAATGGAAAGGACTTGTTTCTTATTTTCTATATGCTTTTCAAATATTAAACAATTACAATTTTACCTATCTACGATTGATGTAGCACCAACCAAATAAAAATACTTATGGCAGTCATAAAATATATTATATCGTTAAATATTCTGCAAACAGTCTGCGTTTTACTATTCCTCTTACTGAATATAGTAGAAGATAGCAAAGGAACAAGCCATAAAATTTAACCAAGTTCGTCGCAAATTTGATTCTTCTTTATCTCCGACAAGTTTTCGGGATTTATTTAGACGAGAGTTTGCAGATCATCCTCTTCCAAATCTTGATCAGAGGATGAAATTAAATGTCACATTTTGAACAAATGTGGAAATTCGTTGCTAATTTCGCGTACTACTTGTTGATCCTCCTGGCTTTCTGTCGTTTCTTCGCAGAATATCCTAGGATAGAATACAAGATATATTTATAACAAAATCAAAGGAAGATATTAACATGTTTTGGGGAGTAAGCTGTAACATATAACTGGATTTTACCTGGTAAAACATTTTAAGAGGTCTTCCGACCGATGGCGGTGCTCGTTATAACTCGACGTACGCAGAACTCGACGGCAGAGCTCTAAGTATTGTCGACGCTATTGTTATATTAGAGAATAATCGATTAAACGTATATTCGATATATTTTCATAAATCTGTTTTAAGCAATTGATCACAGCATAATGTAATACCTTATCACCAGGGAACATATCGAAAAGCTGCCGTAGTATAATGTCAATAAGAACTTTCACATCATTGGTGTAGAAGAGGCTTGCTATAACGTCGTTACTAAATAGGTCGATAAAGAGTTTCAACACAGAGTGCGGTGGCGGTGGCTCGTGATCGAATATCCGTACCGGATCCTCTGTGGCAAGTTAAAAGTTTGTCAGCTCGAACTATCAGCCCTGACATTACTCGCATAAAATTTACCTTCTCTGTTAAAAAGGAATAAAATTTTTTCAGTGAATGTTTTGGCCACAGTCCGCTCTCGTAAGGCATTTAGAACTATATTTTCAGATGTTGTAAATTGCAGATTGTAGGATAATATTAAATTTACGAACAGGTCTGGAATTTGATCCTCTAAATCTGTATCGGGTGGTGTTTCTATTAGGTCCAAGAGGAACGATATGAAGTCTGGACCAAGTTGTTCTGCAATGAAATTCATAAAGAAAGACGCACGCATTTTGGTTGTTTATTTTCAATTATAATACTTCTTTTTACTTTTATATATCGTTTACTCACCCAAATGTGTAACTGGCATAGGCTCGCCCATCGAGAAGATCATTGTAAGTAGCAAAGATGAATAATTCAATCTCAGTACGTTCCTGGGATTACTCTGCATATCTCTGCAGAGGATGCAACAGCCAAAAGTATGAATTATCTAATATTTTATATTATTAAATATATGTAAGCTATCTTTCTTACATTACCTTGCTAATTCCATCGGTAAAATGCTATTTAACATTATAGTTAGAACCACTGGATCCAAACTGCACATAACACCGAACGATTGCAACAACAATTGTCTGATGGTCCATCTCGTTTCCATCTGATAATATTGTATCAATATTGTCACTCCATTGTAACGATCTTGCCTCAAAACGTATCTCGACACATTTGCGTCGGCATTCGTCTTTGTAATAAAGAGAATATGTTAGTGAATATTGATTGATTATAAACGACATTAAACATAGATTCGCATTTATATGTTGTGTTAACCAGAAATTAAAGAAAGTTAGATTTTGATATCGAGGTGCGATATTACGTAGGTGTGTAAATGCGAAAAAAATAACGAGAATACTTGATGAAACAATGTACCAATATTTCGGTCAATTCTTTGATATATTCCACGATGATGGATTCGTCTTCATAAAGCATCCAACTTCTTTGCTGTGAATCTTCTTTGCATGAGGTCAATTCGGTAAAAATTATTTTCAACCTATTAGCATCGTAAGTTTCTTCTATACTCATCTTTGATACGTTCAGTGGTGTTTGTAGCTGATGCAGCAAAGCATCGAAATAGTGACTTACAGTTTCTGGCATCAACTGCCGCAGGCCAGATACTACGACTGTAACTGCTACCTTCGACATTTCATAACTAAGCTGAGTATTTTTGCGTACTTGATCGAGCAGTTGGTAAGCGCTTCGTGAATTGATGGCTTGTAACGATAAGTTGCTCTTAGCTGACGAGCTGCTTTTAGCAGGCGAGTTGCTCTTCACTGGCGAGCTGCTGCATATATTCTGTATGCTACCTTGGGAAGAGCTCTTACGTATTTCCGCGACCTGTGACTGAACTTTCTGCACAGTGTCGGAGGATGACTGACGAGGAAACGTTTGTAAGCAATGTTCACTTCCACTTGGTTGTTGACATTGTGCGATTGTTTGAACGGTATTTGTATTCGTGTTAGTATGAAAGGTAGTTTGTGCTGTTACGTAAGATGTATTACTTGGCGCTGATCTAACATCTGTCTCGGTACTGTCGCAGGCACCGATTGATTGTGTTTCTTTGGATGTAATGCTGTCTTCTAAATCCGGTGGTGGTTTAGGCGCTTGCTTCTTAGGTTTTCTATTTAATTCAACTTGCCTTTTCCTTTCTACCAGTTTTGCTAGAAGATCTTGCTTGTCTGTGTGTAGCAAGTCGCTATGTTTACTGAGCTCTGTCTCCAGAGTTATTATACAGTCCTCCAGGAAGTCAATCATGAACTGAGACTGCACCTGGTAATAGATCAATGTAAACTATTAATGACAAATTGCTGACATATTTGTATCTTTGACCAACTTCAACATGCCTTCACAGGAGTAACATAATTTGACGGTATGTAGCCCAGATGGCCGCCTCTATTTACAACTTGCCACCAGTTTTTCTGCTTGATATTGCGCTGCAGCAAAATAAAATATTCACCATCCCGGAAGCTGAGGGTCTTGGCGAATGTGGCCTTGAAGTCATACAAGGCTTTAACCATCTCGTAGCTGTCTGCAGTTGCATATACGCAAAGTGAGAGAAGGGTTTCGTTGAAAAAGGAATACCTCGGGAGCGAAAGAATGGCTCGGCAACTTGTTAGAATGTAAATATATACGCACCGAACTCACTTAACCTTGCACAGTTGTCGTCCATCATTGGAAACGAGAGTGAAATGCGACTGTTTCACGAGGACAACGCCCAGTTGAAAACAGGAACACGTTGGGGAACTACTTACTTTCATTTACGTCCAGGCACCTTATTTTCCTCCTACTTGCTTTTTTTCCCTTATTAACCGCAATCACGCTTTTTGCCCCGATTGGACTGAGTCCTCTCTCTCTCTCTCTCTCTCTGTCTATATCACTATCATTGTGTTGTTCTATCGCACATAGATTGCGCTTAGTACGACAGCGAAAGCAGCACGAATCGAACTACTACACCCATTCACTCGTTCGTGTTACAAATTCGTAGGAATATCGATCGTAATGCATCATCTCGTTCGGCTTTTACCTTTTATTACTTTTACTCTCGCAAACCCACACAGATACACACATTTCGTGATAATGATTTTTAATAAAATGTTATATCAAATTACAAGAGAATTAATCGCAGGTGGAAAGGAGCAAAACTCAGAGAAATTAATATTCATTTGATACGGCATAATTTTACAGACAAAAAATCCTTTATATTTTATCATTTCAAGGAATTAAATATAAATTTTGTACTATGACAATCATATTATATATACAATCTGAGTTCGGAAATGATAAATATTTATTGTTAATAGATATTTCAGTATAAAAATAGAACATATAACAACTATAATTAAAGCTTTGCATATACATGTAAAAGTAAATCCATCTCCATCTCTTTCTCTATTATTCTATTATTGATACTGATTCAAATATACCAACATCCAGCAATAAATTTCTATGTGAAAATATAATGTCAAAATATATGTACGGTAATAAATTATTAGGAAACACCACATCAATAATTTCGGCCATAATATATGTTGTGAAATACACTTTGAATAATCTTCCGAAGGTTTCAGTCGGCGATAATCATTTGTTAAAAACTTATTAACAAAATAAGTTTGAGTTATTTTGGTTATTGACGCTTAAATCTTTTACTTTACTAAACTGATGAGACTAATCTTTACAACCTTACTCAAGATCATGTACTTGATAACATATGTCAAGGTCATCGGTCAAGGTGTCCCTTAATATACATAATTACCATACTGTACTTTTCGCAGAAAAAATAGGCAATAAGTTCAGAGTTAGTTTTCATAACCAGATTGTGCGGAACATTGATATTTTTCAAGTTCATTTCTGTATCGGAAATGTCGAAGAGAATGAGAATGAAATTAGCGAGCTTCGCACTATTGAAGCGCCGTGCAGCTCGCGAGCGCAAGTGCTCTATATGAGAATCGAGGAAAAGCTGTTCCAGCTCCCTTAGTAGAAGATTTTTGACTGTCGCACGAGTATTGCCTAGAGTATGAAATTCATTTATCTGCCTTTGCTCCCGGTTACTTTCTGCCTGATCACACGTCTTTTCTTTATACTAAAGGTTCTACGAGATACTATGAATTCAGAAAGTATGAAAGAGCAATAATTCCCCAGCAGAAAGGTATCTAGTAGATTAGATTTCAAAACTAGTAGCTAGATATTAATGACTAGATAAGTTTTCTAGCCAGTCACTAGTTTGTGCTAGCTAAATACTCCTAGTCAATCTTTAATTGTCTAGTCATTAGATAGAAAATATGGTAGTAGATGGGGCCGTTTTTTCTAAAATATACAGTCTAGCCGTCACTATTATCTAACAGTCATTACTATCTCGCCGCTAACAGGATCATACTAGTCAGCACATCGAAATTATGGTTATGTTGCAATATCAAATTCTGTCTAGTCACTATCTAGTAGCAATGTACTTTAAATCCTACATAGAAAATGAATGTCATGACTGTCTAATAGCTATAATGATTACATAGATAGTGACTAAACGAAAAAGATTACACAGTAACGACATGGAAAACCACCAATATATCTTGAATAGAAATTGAGTATCGAGATTGTCTAGTAAGTATATTAATTACATAGACAATGGGTAGATGGAAAAAATTATAGTTACATGATAGAAAACTATCGATCTTAGTCTTTAAATATTCTTAATTATGTAGTTATCTAATCATTAGATTGAAAATATGGTAGTAGATATGACGCTGTCTTATCTAAAATTTATCTACTATCTCGTCAATAACAAGATTATATTAGTCCGCACATCGAAAGTATGGTTATGTTATATTATAAAAATTTATCTAGTAACTATTTATTAGTAACATATAAATTCTAAATCTCGAAATTAGATGTCAAAATTATTTTATGAGAAACCATTACAAACCATTAGACAGTAAGTTTGGGTATAGACAATGATGTAAAACACAAATTTACTGTCTGGTAGGTAAACAATTCTGACATTCAATTTCTATTCAGGATTGCTATATTGCTACTAGATAGTTACTGGGTGGAGTTTAATATTCAATTCATGCACCAATCAGAATGCAATATTTCTATCCAGCAAGTAATCCTGTAGGAAAACAAGCATCGTGTACCGTAGGCTTACGATTATTATCGTCTTCGATTTGCTGACTTGACCCCACTAGGGATCATCATACTGAGTTCCGATTGATTAGAAATGCACCAATCAAACACAAGATGATGATCCCGAGTCTGATCGAGTTAGCAAGTCGAAAACGCCATATGAATACTGGCCTAAATCTCGGATCCCCAATCCATATCGGGCTTATGGTCTATTCTACAATATACCGTATGTTGGGTCGGAATATAACCGAAAGTACAATGAGATAATTTATTTTTCGAGAGCTAGTTCTCCTCATTGGATCATCGACTTTGTTCTCGCATTCTATAGCGACATACGAAGTATTAGGTTTGTTCGTTTTTGCTGCACCGCTGAACTAGTGCAATAAGTTGAAGCGAGACAAGTATATGTTTTCTCACTTCACTTCTTATTGCACTAGTTCAGCGGTGCAGCGAAAACGAACAGACCTATTGTAGGACAGGCCTAATGCCTTCTGCATACCGAACGCGGAAATGTTTGCCGCACGGCACGAAGCGACCTGGTAGCCGATAAACTTTTACTTCTTGTGGAGAAACGGCACGTCGATTGGTTATCGCGTCGTTTCTTGACACGCGGTAAGCGTTTCCAGGTTCTAACAGTAAAGACCAATAATCGAGGACTATTCATCGATCGCTTTTTCCGCAGCTAATCAGATTCACGAATTTTACACCAGTTGCAAAGCTGTTTTCTCTGCTGAACGCAGCCATTAGTGTTGATCAAGCCGCTAAATCCTAACCTCACATCTCGCGCTTTTCACAATTTCATTGTTGTTTTTAACCTCAACGATGGCTGATAATGACCAAGATACTGGAGACCGAAATGACGGCGACAATCAGAAGAGCGATAAAATGTTTACTCTAAAGAAGTGGAATGCGGTGGCTATGTGGAGCTGGGACGTTGAATGTGACACTTGTGCCATTTGCAGAGTCCAAGTTATGGGTGAGTCATGTATTCATCAGTGTATTCCTCCTAATTTGCCCTTATCTCGTTTGTAAAAAAGAAAAAAAAATGGAAGAATCCTTCATACGCATGTTACACTGACATTTATTTATAACATAGAATTACGTACGTTACACATATAGTGACAATAAATTTATGTTTATTCAATATAAAATATTTGCTATTTAAATTTTGTATATGCTATCTTATGCTATTTTGAGTACATTGCCTCATAATTTAAACTGACTTTTATTGATAAAATTCCTTTATTCCTGACTTCTCAACCAGTCAGGTGGTTTTTAAGCTACTTCTAAAGGCTTCCATTAGTGACTCCTCATATAGTCCTAATCATATGTATATATATATATATGACTGAGTTCAGAATATTGGTTATTGACTCTCAATTTAAGAATTAACTCGAAGTATGATTTAGGATGACTTTCACCAAATTCAGATTAATCTAATCAACGATTTAAAATTGCCGTCAATCAAGTGTTACCTACTTTAGCGAAAAATAGTGAATCATACAGAAGGTTAAATAAATTAGTACGATCAAAAGTCTTATGATAATAAATCCAAATTTCGTAGTATATATTAGTTGAAAAATTTGTTTCAGTAGGAATTGTTTTTTAGTGATTTTGTTAAAACTTTGTTAAATTTTTTAGTGATTTTGAATCAAAAGTATATTTCGCGTTCTGTATGAAATTGCTTTGTATTTCCCTTTGAAATATTATTGTCATAATCCACAGATTTATGCTTATCAGTGTCAATGATCGCTTGTATTTATTTACTATCCAATAGCATTGGTTCAATTGCTAGCGTCATAATACAAAAGTAGCTAAAAGGAAAGGTATAAAGTGGAAGTAACGATTTTATGTAAATGTATCATTTTATATATCAATAATCTTAAATATAATGACATAATTTACAAATTACGTATAAACTTAACATGAGTATTAAATTATAAAAAATATTTCGCCATCTCCATTGGGCTTTGGCAAACACCTTATAAATAAACGGTATCACTCCGTGCATATCGCAATTAAGCGGGAAACAGCAGAAGTAAAGAAATGCCATGATTAGTCGTTGTACAAAAGAGAATATTAACATGTCTATTATTATTATATAATAACTTTCGTAAAAAACGTACATCGAGATATTGAATAAGGCTTATTGCTTTATACGATATTAAATCGATACGTACATTAAACCACAGGAATGATTTTTTTGTTCTAATAGTGCCTTTACAATTCTAAAATAAGATTTTTCGCGCACTATAAACAATATTTATTATCATAACATTATTTAACATGCGAACGAATGCATGCTACAAAAAACATTTCTATGTGAATGAGATTCGCCTAATGGAATTTTTCATATTTGATTTGAACACACATCTATAAGCATACTTTAGTCATCTTATACACAAACGAATGTTCACAATGATTTTAACATTTGTGTAGTTTCTAACATTTCTTTCAGTTATCATTTATGATATGCTGAGATTTATATTATATTACATTGACACGCTATGAGTGTATTCGGTCAAATATAATGAATTAATATAGAGATGATAGTGGCAACGTGATATGTTAGGATTATCTGGTCTTAACTTGTCCGTAGTTTTATTGGTTAATTTATGTAAAAAAATCTAAATATTATAGATGTAAAATAATAGAGATATCGTAAAAATTTTAATTAACGTCTTTGGCCTGTAATTCTAATTTCTTTTTTATTAAATCTTTCTGTAGATAAAATTTAAAATTTAATAGAAAGGACAATTTTAATTTTCTTCGTGAAATTAAATTTCTCAATATTATTTTTATCATAATTTTTAAACTTTTTATTTTATATTATATGTATCTTCTTATTTTACATATTTTTTTAACTTTATTCATTATTGCACAACATCTGGAATTTTCTAAATCAGTTTTTGTAATATTTTGTAATATTTTTATACGTAGTTCGTCTTGTGTAAATAGTTTTTTGATAAATATGATTAAATATATATTACAAATTAATTCGGTACCTCTGCATTGAATGTTGTGTAACTCTGGTCCAAATTTCAATTTTTTTCTATTCTATATGGTAATTTGAAAGTGCCAATGTTAGGCTTTAAGAATCACTTTAATAATTGATGGCTTTGCCGATAAAACAACCTCAGAAAGCAGTAGTTGTCACGATGTTGTTCGAAAAGAAGTATGCGAAGCCCTGCATCCTTTTTACACTTCAGTTCAATTAAAATGCTGCTCAATTTACCGAAGTGATTTGTTCCGCTTTGGGTGAAGATGTTGTGACCCGTAAAACTTGTAAAAAAACCTTTTACCGGCAATGAAACTAGGCAGCTAATTGTACTGCACGATAACGTGCGATCATATACTGCAAAAAAGACAAAGGATCTCATTTAACGATTCTGCACGGAGAAAAAAGATCAGTTGAATTAATATTACAATGAAGGAATCAAACACGTTTTGAAGCAAATACAATTTCTGATTTTTATGAACCAATTTGAGTCATAGGAAAATTCCGTTTCCTTCAACCAAAATGCGTTTGATTCGTTCATTGTTACGTATAATTCAATTTTTTCCCCGTGTATGGTTCTTTTATGAAATTTGTTTTATCAATTGCATTTGTATGTATATTAAACTGTACATTAAATGCAAATTGCGGCTGCGTTTCTCACAGGACAAATGCGACATATTCGTAAGAAGCTTCGCAGGAAGCATACCTTCGAGCTTGATTTCGCTTTAAACTAAAATTATTTATATGGGTATCATTAAGTATCTTTAAGGAAACCTTACCCCTAAAGTGACATCGTTGAGTCCTGTTCCCTCTTGTTCTGATAAATTTTCCCGTTGATGAAAATCGCGATTGAGCATCGATTGGTAGCTAGGAGGCCGTCGGCATCGGCTTCATGTTGGCGACCGCGCTCATTCTTCTAGTTGGCCCGGTAAAACTCATCTCGATCTCCTCGAGTGATTTGCCGCGCGTCTCCGGTACGCTGATGATTACGAAGATGATGCCCACTATGACCATGGCACCGAACAACCAGAAAGTGCCGTGCGTGTCAACTACCGTTATTATGTCCTCGAATGTTTTCGTTATGATGAAGGTGCACATCCAATTAAAGGCAGTCGCAATACTGGCAGCTGAGCTGCGAATCTTGGCTGGCAAGATCTCGCCCATCATCAGCCAGGGAATCGGACCGAAACCCAGCGAAAAGCCGATCACGTAGACGATTAAACTGACTAATGGCAGCCAGCCGAAGGCCGTCACATCGACACCGCATGATTTCACGTAAAAGTGTCCGCCGAGGATGGAGAGCGTTAGAACCATCGCTCCGCCGCTTATGTACAGCAGCACCTTTCTGCCCACCTTGTCGATCGTGAATGCGGCGACGAAAGTGGATATTAAGTTCACCAAACCGATAATTATAGTCGAAAGATTTTCATCAATCGTGCTACCAGCGTCCTGGAATCGAGAACATGGTGTATTAATTATTGCTATGTGTGTCGATTTTCTAAAAATTAAGTTAACAAAATTAACTTACTCTGCTCAAAGTAACTTATACTTCCGGGAATCGATTATCTCTTATGATCTAGTTAGTGTTCATTTTGACAATTCAATTATCATGACATCCAATTATTAAGTTGAAAGTTATTTAACACAAATATTTTATTGTAATTTTAGAATACTAATACAGACGCGCTACGCGTGCACTATTTAGCTAGTTACTATTATACGGAAAAACATCTCAGTTAGTATAATTAAGCATCAGACTAAGAGTCGTTGACGAGAAAATGATATCTCTGTCACACACAGAATGCATATGCATAACACAACTGCATATGCATAGCGTAAGATCATTAATGAACAATGTTCCGCAAATCATGTCTCATCAATGTCTGCCTTACTAGATTGCTCATTGGTTGAGACGGTCTTGTGCTATGCATACATACAGTATATACATATATATAATTCAATAAAAATTGTAATGAAAAAATGTTAAAGAACCAGAATTGAAAAATCCGTAATTTACATAATACTGGAATTTTTATTGACTAAGAAACCAGAACCGAAAACTGAAACCTTTATCAAAATTTTAGTGGACCGAAACCGCAACTGGGCTGATATCTTCATCCGGCCTTCATCCTGGGTCGCTAATAGAAAACACTCCTTTTCTGTACGGATCATGATTGTTTGATTTCCTTATGCATATGCAATATGCGATTATGCAACTGTGCGTAGATAAGTTATTACTGTCGAAACATTTAATCCCTGCGATGACAATCATGAATCGAAGTAAGTTACGACTTGCATTGAGATCGAAATCTCGAGACAGCCCATTACCATCGCGGAAAAGAGACTTTAACGTTTCGACATTCGAGATATCAGTTTACACGCCTTTTTCAGAAAGAGACAATGAAAGATTATTTAAAAGTTAGGGAGTATTAGATGGATTGATTGGTACATGCCTGGAAAATTTGCACCGTGTAGAATATAACCGCGTTGATTCCTGACATTTGTTGGAATAACATCAGTCCCAAGGAAATGAGTAGTGGTTTCAGATTGGTGCTCTTCAATAACTCCAAGATCGTTCTCTGAGAGGCGTTTTGTTCGCTCTCCACATGAATCTTTTCGATCATAGTCAATTCTTCGGTTATATCGGCGTCCTTGCCGCGGAGCCATTGCAGAGATTTTTGCGCCTCCTTCGTCTTTCCCTTTGAGATGTACCACCTCGGGGTCTCCGGGATTAGAAACATCAGAATCAAGAACAGTATTGGCAAGCACGCACCTACCAGCGCCAGGTTTCTCCAATTCAGACACATACCCAACGTGTAGCATATTAATATTCCTGCGTTACACGTGAAATATAATTGCGAGCTTAGTTTAACATAATTTTGATTTTTATGTATAAGGAAACAAATGTCGCCGACATATGGTATACGAGAGGAAAATTATAATTTTCTTCCATATAACGTTTTTTTTTAAATTTTATCATGTTTTTTTAGTAATGCAAGGATAGTAGAATTTATTATATATGGTCGCTAATGTTGTATCGCTTCGGCTCCACATATTGCACACAATTTTTTCTGGTAAATATTGATAATTATTGGCATCTTGATTTTCACCACATTGTGTTCATCGAAATACATCTCGATAGATAGTAAATTAAGGCAGAATGTCGATATGTTTCTTGGTTACAAAATTCCATAATAATTTTTATCATAATAGATTCTCTGTGCAGATATTGAAGGTATCTTCGCGAATGTTCGCATTTGAATGTCTGAAAGAGCACTTGGATGTTTTGTTTCACTTACCACCATTACCAAAGACGGTGGGCATCAGGCCGAGAGTGCCGCGCACTTCTGCATGTATCGTCTCGCCTAAGTACACAGGTAGTGATAAGGAAGCAACACCCACGCTAAACCCACATATTGCGCGCCCAACTAACACCATCGCGACATTCTGAGCCAGTGCAATTAAAAGCCACGCTGCAATGAAATGTATCGTATTATCGTATCTTAATTTGATTATTTATACGCAACTGTTTGTTAACAATTTACATAACTCAGAAACTACGTGATGTTCACTAATCATTGTTAGAAACATGCTATACTGCATGTTTTGAAACTTACATCCGATAAATGGGAACGCTGTGGAGAGTATCGTGTTTCTTCTCCCGAGATACTCGATGCATGGCCCTCCAGCAATGCCACCGAAAAGTGCGTTTAAAGGCATTAGTGACCCGATCCACATACCCTGCGACATTAATTTAGAATATGATATTAATTTAGAGCAGTGATTCGTTACTTTCACTTTCGAGGCGATTTTCATGAGCTACGGTTACTTGGTTCTCTATACCGTTCTAGCACGCCACGCAACTGACGGTCGCGGCTCTCAGAGACGTTGGCGTTATAATATCTATGCGGCGCTTACTAATAGTTGAAAGAAATTTATTCATACAACTTGATGTATAATATTTTTATAAACCAATATTGTATGTATAACGTAAGTAATATATAAATATTAGTAGTTATACGATCAATTTGATTCAATAAATTTCTTTCTGCTACTAGTAAATGCCTTATAGATATTATGATGTCAACGGCTTGAGGCGCCATCAGCTACGCGGCCCGTCGTTGGAGCGGCAAGGGGAAGTAAGTAGTTACAGCTCTCGAAAATCTCCTCGAGAGTGAAAGTTTCACCGAATATGATTTAATATTATTAGGAAGAAGAGAATATTATTAGGGCTTAAGATTTGTTGACTTTTAGCAAAGTTTCATTAGAAGGCCATCGTCATTCTTTTGGAAAATTTTGATTCTTTGTATTAAAGGAATGCCAAAGTCGATGGTGAGCTTGATAAGCTGATAATGTATAGATGATTCTTAAAATATTACCCCCTTTTCCACAATCCTTAAGACATAAGTAGTAAGCAAATCAACGACGATCGATTATTTTTCTAATAAACGACCGTGGTTGATCAGTTTGATTACTGTTTGCGTCTTAAAACAAGATGTGAATAAGGAGTATGTCACACAATCGATCACACTACTTTTTTATATTTCTTGTATATATAGATCTTCTATAAATGTAAATGCGAAATGTGAGTACAATGAATTGTGTTGTTCTGTTTTACCATACCTGACAGAAAATCTAACCAAGATATACGTTTTTTTTTGCAAATTTTTCGTATTTTTTTAGGACCTTAAACTTAATTGAAAAGATATAAATATGTTATTTGAAATTGTATTGATTGACATACTTAGTTTATACAAACTACAGGATTTCTGCATCAGGTAAATATTTACTCCAATTGACACCTAGAGATGTCAATTTTGAAATTTTTAATTGTTTTTGTCACACCTTGAGCATTACTCCAATTCATTTTCACGTATACTATCATTATATAAAAGTATATATAATTCTGTGTAACCAGTATGACGTAAAGTTTACAAAAGGAGTCAGTATTTTTTCGACAGTTTTCAAAAGTTTTCAAGTATAGCATCCCTTGAATAGCGATGTTGATACAAAAGTTGAATAATCATATTGCTTGAAATTCAATAATAATCTCTCAATTTAATTCAAGTTTTTCGAACCTTGAAATCGTCATAGTTTTGTACATGCGACGCGATGTTCGGTCAAGTGTTTGTAACTTTTTAAATACAACTTAAGAAAAAATTATGAAGAGTTAAGGTCATAATACGGCGCGCATCAGGCGCGTCTTCAGTCCTTTGTATTCATCTTCTGAATAACTGTCGTGTACATCCGTTGGTACTCCTGACATAGTTTTTTCATCAGAAGATCCTTCGATTACGAATAAAATCGGGAAATCGGAGAATGTCAAGAAAAACAATTGCGAAAGCGACCATCGATCATTTTGGTTGCTGATTCGGTCAGTTGTGCCGTGGATTTTAATCAAGCCGTCGCAGAAAGAAATTTCGAAATTTCTGCTTCGTATTTAATTGAATTATTAAATGTAAAGTAATTGCCACCGTAAAATCGCTGTCAGGAATCTTAGTATATCGAAAGAAAATGTATACATTATAATTTAATACACATATAACATCACGGAAAAGAAATCAATATCAATTCAAGATTGTATTTTCATATATATAAGTAAGAATATTTATTTTCATATATATATGTATTTTCATATATATAAGTAAGAATATGTAATTTTATGAAGATAATATTTGCTTACATAAAGAAATTCTGTATAGTCCCAATAAAAATATTAGATTCTCTTACACAAGAATAATTTTTCTGAACTGAAAGAAAAAAAATATTAAATAGAAAGAATGATATCTTCAAATTGATACAATTCTTAGATTTGAAGATTTTATTGAAGCCATTATTCTTTCTATCCAATATTTTTCTTCTTATGTCATGAAAATTATTATTAAATGACAAGAATATGATATTTTTAGTGGATATACATAGAATATGAGATTTTAATATATATTTATATAGAACTTTTTCATGTAAGTTTTATTCTTGCTTATATGAGCGAATATAAATTTTTCATTGATACTAATTTTTTTTCTGTGTACGTGAGTATGCATATACATAGTAAACTTCTGCAGCCATTATAGTTACATAACTCTGAAAAATCAAAAGTTTCGTTAAACACGAAAATTTTATCTTTTATTACGTAACGTACGACTCCAATATTTGTCTTAACGTAATTTTTTTAAGATTAAGACTTGAAGCGCGTGCGCGTTTGTCTGTCTTGTAGCGCGCATATGCGGAAGCACATTATTTACGCTTGCGTACATATCTGGAAATAATTTCCGATATCGTCATGGGACTTTACGATGAAATCGGCGTGTCCGGAGGAACGACCAATCGCCTTCGCGACCACCGAGGCACAACGGCTCTTCAACCAATAAGATTGTAATCAGGTCATCGTGCCCCTGACCACGCATCAATGACGCACTTGAGGTTAAGCCTTTTAATCATCTATTGACCCTTCGAATAACGAAGGTCGCATATTTTTATATGTTCGTGGGGATCGCGATAATTTATAAGTGACGCATTATGCCATTTATGACTCGCGTTACCTTTATCCTCCACTTTGAGCCGATATATGACGTATAGTTGTTTGTCAATAAATAATTCCTCCGGATTTTCCTTCGACATCGTAAAACGAGTTAAAATGTTTTTATGCTGATACATTGAGACGAGATCATTGATATCAATTTGTAATTGATTAACGCGAGTGAAGAAAATTATTATATGTGCACGCGTATAGCAATACATACGCTAATTTATCGACGATTCTAAAGGTTGTGTTAAATTAATAATTACTCTGAAGTAAGCGTGTAGATCAACTACGTCATCTTGCTATCGTCGTTATCGCGGGCGATATTTATTTCTTTTTTTCTTAATTTCGCGAAAATACGAACACGCGAATATATTGTATTTATGTTGTCATTAGATGAACAGATGAGGAATTCATATAATCGGCAGATTTTCAAACAAACGTGCCTGAAACACGAATCTCGTAATCTTCGTTTCCGCACTCGACAGGATTGGATTCTCGCGTTCCTTCATGGTCAGACACTCGAAATTGCGATATATTATTCGAGCACGTTTATAAAACTTCTATATATAATACGTCTCTGTAAACTTCGCATCCTCAACAAATTCGTAATATTAACAACATACTCGAGATATTACTGATAGTGACCAAGTGACATTCTGTTAATTTCCGTTAAGGAAAAATCTAACTAAAATTCGATTAGAATTGGTGAAAACGAAAAAAAGAACATTTATGAGAGCATCTATAGATGCGGCAGTGAATAAACTGTTGAAACATTAAAAATTTTATTTAGATATTAATATTTTTTTGCAAAGTACGTGCAAATTTTACATATGTTAACGAATGAAAATTACGATCAGTGGAGTTAATTAGAAGTGTGTTATATATCAAATTGTAGCATTAAAGCAAATCAAATTCTAGCATTAAATTGTAAATATGCAAACAGAGTAAATAAGACGCACGATCGACGAAAACTGACACGTAAGTTACAAATGGTATATCTTAGCAATTTTCGACGATGGATTTTGACTTTTACAAGTTAAGGTTTTGCGACATGTTAGATTTTGTCTTTTACGAGTTAAACTTTTACGACGTGTGGGTAACATAAGAATATAAGCGATTGTACTTACCATTTGTCTGCTAACTTCGAAACTCGCTGTGCTAGGGTCGCGCATAGATACTAATGCTGGTGATGTATAGGCGATCGAGTAACCAATCATCATTGAGCACAATGATACTGATAATGCGGCCAGCATCTGAAAGTAAAGAAATAAATTTCGGATAAAAATAAATTACAAATATGTTCAAATTTATGCGAACATTTGAGTAAACTTTTATTTTTTAAGCAAGATTTTTTTCTTGTTAAGTGGCACTCACAGATTACATTTCACATTCTTTGAATGTTATGATATATTATTTAACAAAAATCTTTCTCTGCGTATATATATAATAGTTGGACCAAAGTACGAGTCGGTAAAATCTTGTAAAGTTTGTTGGAATGTGAACAAACAATAACCTTTATCGTGTAACTGTGTCTGAAAACTTTTAAACGCGAATAAAATATGTAAAAATTAGAATACTATCGTTCCACTTGACATTTTATTTGAGAAAAATTATTTTCCGAATTAGTCCGAATGATAGGTCTGTTCGTTTCCGCTGCACCACTGAACTAGTGCAATAAGTTGAAGTGAGAAAATATACTTGTCTCGCTTCAACTTATTGCACTAGTTCAGCGGTGCAGCGAAAACGAACAGACCTATCATTCGGACTAATTCGGAAAATAATTTTTCTCAAATAAAATGTCAAGTGGAACGATAGTATTCTAATTTTTACATATTTTATTCGCGTTTAAAAGTTTTCAGACACAGTTACACGATAAAGGTTATTGTTTGTTCACATTCCAACAAACTTTACAAGATTTTACCGACTCGTACTTTGGTCCAACTATTATATATATACGCAGAGAAAGATTTTTGTTAAATAATATATCATAACATTCAACAGACCTAACACATCGCTAAAATTAAAGCACCGAAACATAATATGTATGTTGACCGAAGATTATCGTCATAAAAATAGGTCCTTCGTGTAAAGAGTATCGACCTAAATCGGGATGCTACCTGAGAATACGTGCATTTAGCTGCTGGCACATTTACTGGTATCTCGGTGTTAACGTGTGTGTCCGTTCGTAAGAGAAACTTCATGATCACGTATATTAGATGTTAATAGAGGCAACGTGTGACAGTGCAGCCAGAAGTTGCACCGGCATGACACGCGACGCACACAAGCGCCCGCTCGTGTACATATGAGCTGCTGACTTCGAGCGCTGTCGGTTACTAGAAAGAGACATATCTGACGTCACGACTATCTGTCCCTTAATTTCTTTCAGGTGAGTTTGCCGCGATACGACGTTCACTCTGCCAAAGCTAGTCTCGCACGATTTTCGCATGGTCTTCTTGGAAGCGCGTCGTTTTATATATATAGAATATATATTTAATAAATAAATAAATAAATATATAAATTTATATATATATATATATTTATTTATTTGTTTATTTATTTCTATATATTCTTTACTTCTCATAACGTACTGAAGGGGAATACAAGCTTTTTCAGCACAAAAGCGTACGAGATAAACTTAGCCAAAGAATTGACTAAGGTGTGCATGTAATATAATATATTAATTCTTACCACATCCTGTCCTTGTTCATACTGGACAAGGACAAGAGAATCTACGACTCTTGGACAGTGCTTTCCTACCTATCTTATGGATAGGATGGATCTTTCCTTTCGACCTATCTTATGGATGGATCGAGTATTCGCAAGAAAAGATTACTAAGTAATCTTATTATTGGCCTTACGGTGCTTGTCTACGTGGCAATCTACGACTCCGGAGCTCTGATTACGACCTATCTTACAAATACAATAGGTTGTATATTCGCAAGAACTACAGATACCTACGTATTTGTAGCTGGTATCTGAGTCATTTTCCGAGTCATTTCCTTTCCCGTTTTGGTGATCAGCATTGGCCGCCCAGATCATGCGATTTAACGCCGTTGGACTTTTTTCTTTAAGATTTTTCGAAGTCTAAAGTTTATGCCAACAAGCCCACGACCACCCCACGCCTTGAAAGAGGAAATTGAGCGCTATATCAACGAAATTCAGTCACATTTATGCAAAACGGTCATGGAAAATTTCAACAAAAGAGTGCGTATGTGCCAGCAAAGCCGTGGAGGCCATTTACCCGATATGCTATTCCATACATAACTCTATACTGTATACTTCATGAATCAATAAAAAATTTACAATTTTTAATAATAAACCTGTGTTTTCTATCAAAATTACTTCTTGCGTGAATTTTGACACCCTATATCAAGCCCGAATAGTCCTGAACAGCGTATTTTATTCCATTTGACAAGTTCCAGAGTTTCTGATAGATAAAAAAAATATCAAATACTTATAATTGTTTAAAAAATCGACATCGGACGTTAGAGGCATTTGAAGTCAAATAACTTCTTAAATTTTGGTCGAATCGTCTTGGATCATAATAATTTCTTGTACAACCCGTCGAATACTATCAAAAAATACCGCTAGAACTACTGGAATTAAAAAAAAAAATTTCGATGTTAACTTAGGAATATTTCAAATGTTGCATACTTAAGACGGAATAACTTCTTAACACTATGCCGTCCGCACGTCTAATCGGGATTCTTTTATTTGGCGCCGGTAGGACTGACTCAGATCATTTCGCTTGTCGCCGGCGGTTTTTCGAGGTCCTCGGAAGATCATAAATCGTCAAGTTTTACTAATCTCATCGTCAGTTCTCATGAGTTAGATAGATATTACACCGGGTAGTAACATCAGTTCATTACGAACCTTCGAAGTGCGTACATGTTTAAAGTGAGAAATTAAATTTTTTTTTAATGTTTCCATGATGCCAACGTGGTGCCACCGGCATTTGCCCGATAGTTTTCGCATGACGCCAACGTGGTGCCACCGGACGGCATAGTGTTAATTAGTGGTTGAATCATCTTGGACCATGATAATTTCTGGTAGAATTCTTCGAATACCATCGAAAAACATCGCCAGAGCTACTGAAACTTTTACGTATCAAAATATTTCGATACGAACTTGGACATATTTTATATGTGTTGACGTTCTAAGTTGAGTAACTTTTTAAATATTGGTCAAATCGCCTTCGCCTATAATAATTTCTTGTAGAACTCGTCGAATACTATCGAAAAATACTGGTTTCGAACCACACTTTCGAACTTGTTTTAAAGTTTCAGTAGTTCCGGCGGCGTTTTTTATTAGTATTTTAGATATCGTAACTTGTTTTTGCACGATTCGTAAGAACTTATGAATAGCTTTGCAATTCTATGCGTACGATCACTCGTAAATATTTATGATTTCTCGTATATCTTACTATTAGCTAATCTTGCTTTGCGTGTATACATGTGTACGTGTGATACTGAAGACTGAATTTCACCAGGTGAGAAAAAATTGCGTTTTTCATTGGTAGATTTCGAGATCTTGTGATTAATTGGACTAATCTTAACCCTCCGAGTGGCGATGTATTTTCACTATTTTCGAAGTGGTAACTATTTTTGTTTTCCTCGATTTTCTCCTCTTGGACTGCTCAAAAAAAATCTCCAAAAATGATCAAAAGTTCCTTTATCCTTCTTGAAGACCACACAGCTGTTTTGTCAACAATAAATTGCTAAATATTTTATTTTTTATCATTTCTGAACGAAGACGGATAAAAATAACCAAAATAACCATTGTAACCATGTAATCAAAGGTATATTTCGCGTTCTGTATGAAATTGCTTTGTATTTCCCTTTGAAGTATTATTATCATAATCCACAGATTTATGCTTATCAGTGTCTATGATCGCTTGTATTCATTTACTATCCAATAGCATTGGTTCAATTGCTAGCGTCATAATATAAAAGTAGCTAAAAGGAAAGGTATAAAGTGGAAGTAACGATTTTATGTAAATGTATCATTTTATATATCAATAATCTTAAATATAATGACATAATTTACAAATTACGTATAAACTTAACATGAGTATTAAATTATAAAAAATATTTCGCCATCTCCATTGGGCTTTGGCAAACACCTTATAAATAAACGGTATCACTCCGTGCATATCGCAATTAAGCGGGAAACAGCAGAAGTAAAGAAATGCCATGATTAGTCGTTGTACAAAAGAGAACATTAACATGTCTATTATTATTATATAATAACTTTCGTAAAAAACGCACATTGAGATATTGAATAAGGCTTATTGCTTTATACGATATTAAATCGATACGTACATTAAACCGCAGGAATGATTTTTTGTTCTAGTAATGCCTTTACAATTCTAAAATAAGATTTTTCACGCACTATAAACAATATTTATTATCATAACATTATTTAACATGCGAACGAATGCATGCTACAAAAAACATTTCTATGTGAATGAGATTCGCCTCTAATGGAATTTTTCATATTTGATTTGAACACACATCTACAAGCGTACTTTAGTCATCTTATATACAAACGAATGTTCATAGTGATTTTAACATTTGTGTAGTTTCTAACGCTTCCCTCAGTTATCATTTATGATATGCTGAGATTTATATTATACTACATTGACATAATATGAGTGTATTCGGTCAAATACAATGAATTAATATAGAGATGATAGTGGCAACATGATATGCTGGGATCACCTGGCCTTAATTTGTTCGCAGTTTCATTGGTTAATTTATGTAAAGAATGTAAATATTATAGATGTAAAACAATAGAGACATCGTAAAGATTTTAATTAACTTCTTTGGCCTGTAAATTTTTTTTATTAAATCCTTTTGTAGGTAAAATTTAATAAAAGGGACAATTTTAATTTTTTCGTGAAATTAAATTTCTCAACATTATTCTATCATAATTTAAAACTTCTTACATTTTTTAAACTTTATTCATTATTACACAATATCTGGAATTTTTTAAATTGGTTTTTGTAATATTTTTATGCGTAGTTTATCTTGTGTAAATAATTTTTTGATATATATATATATACAAATTAAGTTTTGTTTAAGCAATATACAAACTAATTTTTATTAATATTTTGATTGAAACGCGTTGAAATTCTCTAGCGAATTACTACCTCTTGGATAATTTGACCGAGAACACTTTGCGAGATGTCCGTGCGATTTGACTGTAATTTTTTTTAAAGAGAGAAAGTATACGACGTTTATTACAATATGTAGTTCTTCTCTTCCGCTAATAATTTTCTAAGATTTTCATCTCGTTTCCTATTATTACGTTACTATTTTCTAAGCTTCTCATTTTGGAAAATAAAAATATATATTAGATTAAATATATATTACAAATTAATTCGGTACCTTTGCATTGAATGTCCTGTAACTCTGATTCAAATTTTAATTTTTTTTCTATTCTATATGGTAATTTGAAAGTGCCAACGTTAAGCTTTAAGAAGCACTTTAATAATTGACGGCCTTGCCGATCAAACAATCTCAGAAAGCAGTAGTTATCACGATGTTGTTTGAAAAGAAGTTTCTAAAGCACTGCATCCTTTTTGCACTTCAATTGAATAAAAATGCTGCTCAATCTACCGAAGTGATTTGTTCCACTTTAGATGAAGATGTTGTGACTCGTAAAACTTGTAAAAAGACTTTTTACCGGTAATGGAACTAGGCCGGTAATTGTACTGCATGATAACGTGCAATCATATACTGCAAAAGAGACAAAAGATATCATCTATACATTAGGCTGGGAAATTCTTCCACATGTGGTTTATTCATCAGATTTAGCCCCATTGGATTAAAACCTATTTTGGTCGCTTCAACATCATTTGGCGGATACTCATTTTAAAACAGTTGACGAGGTCCGAAAAAGCATCGACGATTTTATCAAATTAAAACCACCAAGTTTCTTTCGCGAGGGCATTCGTCAGTTGCCCGAAAGATGGAATAAAGTTATTGAAAATAATGGAGATTTTTTCGAATATTAAATGTATATACTTGTCTTTTTGTGAATAAACTTTGAATTTCATGAGAAAAGGTACGGAATTAATTTATATACCTAATATTTCTGCTAGTAACATTTATACTATCACTCGATAAGCGAAGGGAGAACGTTGGGAGGATCGATTTAGCGTCGATTTTGGAACGTGAATATAAGATACTTTTATCTGTCTAAACCTTCGGCTATTTACAAATTAGTAGTTCTATCTTGAAGAAAACGTGAAAGAACGTGATTGATCTTATAGCTCCTGGATACTCACTGGCCTTGGTCGTCCTTCTTTTATGACGTCAGAAGCGAGGAAAATCATGTCAATTTATGTGACGGCATATGTGGAAATAAAAAAAATATATATACAAAATAATATTCGTGATCAATTTGTCACACTTGTAAAAATGTCCAGATGTTTTTCTGCTTTTTTCATAAAAAAAAAGACAGCTATGGTGAGTACCCAGGAGCCTCAAAAGCTTATTATCGTACTGAAGGAAGCATCGCCCTTTTTCAAAAGACCGGTCTTTTGGTCTATCTGTGTATATACATAAGTACACGTATTTTTCAAGTTACAAAGTGCGATTAATTCGCAAGAGTTCGCATTCGCGTCACGAAAATTGATTGTGCCGAATTTCTCCTTCAACGATTTTACATGGAGAAAAAAGATCGGTTGAATTAATATCACAATGAAGAAATCAAACACGTTTTGAAGCAAATACAATTTCTGATTTTTATAAACCAAATTGGGTCATAAGAACGGAAAATTCCGTTTCCTTCAATCAAAATGCGTTTGATTCGTTCATTGTTACGAATAATTCAATTTTTTCCCCGTGTACGATTCTTTTATGAAATTCGTTTTATTAATTGTATTTATATTCGTTAAATGCAAATTGCGGCTGCGTTTCTCACAGAACAAATGCGACATTTTCGTGCTTTCTTGTATCTCGTATTTTCCCATTTATGACAGAATTTGGCAATACTATTAATCTCTCTGTAAAAGTATGACGGCGTGGTGTTCGAGCGGCAGCGCAACGAACATTCCCTTTAAGGAGATAGAAAGGTTTGATCTTGTGAAAAATCGGTAAAATTTCGTTCATTACTATAGGTATTAATTGAATGCGAAATGTTTTTATAGGCTGAGTTATACCTGGAAAATCACAATATATACTGTATAGGGATGGATCGAGCTGTAGCAGTTCCATATTTTGTTAAATTAATTAATATATTTTAATTTAATATTTTTTTAAATTTCTTAAATATCTTTTTATCTTTTTATGTTAAATATTTCTTTATCGTTAACATATAGTATAAATAGTCTATAAAAAAATTTGATATTCCTCTACCTATAGTGATAAATAAAATTTTTCGCGCTCTCTATGAAATTGCACTGTATTTTCCCTTATTATAGTATTATTATTATAATCCACAGATTTTTGTCTATGATTGCTCATCAGTATCTACAATCGCTTGTATTCGTTTACCATCCAATAATATTGGTTCAATTGCCAGCGTCATAATACAAAAGTAACGAAAAAGAAACGATTTTATGTAAATGTATCACCGATTTTTCACAAGTTAAAACTTTTCTATCCCTTTTAATGCGGCACTTACATTTCGAAATTCCGCACAAAACTATGCGGTACTACACCCTCCGTGCAGATTTTACTGTTTTGCGTGCACTTTAAAAGGAAGACATGCTATTCATATATTTCACGCGTCCATCAACGCATAATAGTAGCATTAACTTGAGGTAGACTCTATAGAACTGTCGAGTATTAAAAACTATCGAGCACAACTATACACCTAGTCAACAGCTGATAGTTTACGTATCATGTTATTTCCTCTGCGGAAAAGTAGAACACATTTTCATGATCGCAAATCTAATTAATTGTTTTTAAAATTCGTGTTCCTCGAGCTCGAGATCCTCGAACTTACAATTTAAATACCGATAAGACGCACCTCGCATTACTAAATTCACTAAAATCAATTTATTATTATGGAGGAAACAAACGAGAACATTTTTAATGTTAAATTACTGATTCGAATATACAATCGACTAATTTATACAACTATTTATAAACTATAAATGATCAATGTATAAATGTTTAATTTATAAATTATTAATTTATAAACTTTTAACCTGTAAACAATTAATTTATAAATGTTTAAACACTTTTAAAATTAAGTTTTCCCCAACATTTTTAATCTTAAGCAACGTTAATTTTTAAGAGGATACATTTCTTAAGTTTTCGAATGATCATTGCACTGATTATCGTAAAAAAACTATCAAAAGATGAATATACTCTATCCAACATTGCATATAAAGAGAAAGCACAGTCCGCGAGTAATATTGTCAATCAAGAATAATTACTATATTTGTTCGCCCATTCTCAACAGAACAGTTAATTAAATATAAGTTTTAAGGAAAATTCTTTTGTTCTCGTTTGCTCTCTTATATCATTCGGATCAAAAATGATTCCGTTCTTTACCGATTATCACTAAATTGTTTCAGCCCAGATTCGTTGTAACAGGCAGGCTACACAAGAATTAACCTACAAATATTTTAAAAGTAAAAACAAAATAGAAGAGCCGAGGAGAAAGATAGGGAGGGAAAGAGAGAGAAAGAGAGAGAGAGAGAGAAAGAGAGAGAGAGAGAGTGAGTGAGCACTTACGCTTCGCAGGAAGCATACTTTCGAGCTTGACTTCACTTTAAACTAAGATTATTTCTAAGGATATCATTAAGTATCTTTAAGGAAACCTTTCCCCTAAAGTGACATCGTTGAGTCCTGTTTCCTCTTGTTCTGACAAATTTCCCATGTTGATGAAAATCGCGATTGAGCACTGATTCGAAGCTAACAGGCCATCGGCATCGGCTTCATGTTGGCGACCGCGCTCATTCTTCTAGTTGGCCCGTTAAACCTCTTCTCGATCTCCTCGAGCGATCTGCCGCGCGTCTCCGGCACGCTAACGATCACGAAGATGAAGCCCACTATGACGATGGCGCCGAACAACCAGAAAGTGCCGTGCGCGCCAATTACCGCTATTACGTCCTCGAAAGTTTTCGTTACGATGAAGGTGCACATCCAATTAAAGCCGGTCACGATACTGGCAGCTGAGCCGCGAATCTTAGCTGGCAAGATCTCGCCCATCATCAGCCAGGGAATCGGACCGAAACCCAGCGAAAAGCCGATCACGTAGACGATTAGACTGACTAATGGCAGCCAGCCAAAGGCCGTCACGTCGACACCGTATGATTTCACGTAAAAAAATCCGCCGAGGGAGAAGAGCGTTAGAACCATCGCTCCGCCACTTACGTACAGCAGCACCTTTCTGCCCAGCTTGTCGATCGTGAATGCGGCGACGAAAGTGGATATGAAGTTCACGAGACCGATGATTATAGTCGAAAGATTTTCATCAATCGTACTACCAGCGTCCTGGAATCGAGAACATCATTTATTAATTATTGCTACGTGTCGATTTTTTCAAAATTGAGTTAACAAAAGTAACTCACATTGCTCAAAGTAACTTATACTTCTGATAATCGATTATCTCTTATGATCTAGTTAGTTAGTGTTCGTTTTGGCAATTCAATTATCATGACATCAAATTATTCAGTTTGAAGTTATCAAAAACAAAAATTTTATTCTAATTTTAGAATACTAATACAGACGCGCTACGCGCGCGCTATTTAGCTAGTTGCTATTATACGGAAAACATCTCAGTTAGTATAATTAAGCATCAGACTAAGATTCGTTGACGAGAAAATGATATCTCTGTCACACACAAAATGCATATGCATAACACAACTGCATATGCATAACGTAAGACCATTAATGAACAACATTCTGCAAATCAATATGTCTGGCTTGCTAGATTGCTCATTGGTTGAGACGGTCTTGCGTTATGCATACATACATACAGTATATACATATATATAATTCAATAAAAATTGTAATAAGAAAATTTTAAAGAACCAGAATTGAAAAATCCGTAATTTACATAATACCGGAACTTTTATTGACTAAAGAACCGACAATTGGAACCTTTATCAAAATTTTAGTGGACCGAAACCGGAACTGGGCCGATATCTTCATCCGACCTGGGTCCGTAATAGAAAACACCCCTTTTTTGCACGGATCATGATTGTTTGATTTCCTTATGCATATACGATATACGTTTATGCAAGTGTGCCTAGATAAGTTTTTACTATCGAAATGTCTAATCCCTGCGATGACAGTCGTGAATCGAAGTAAGCAACGACTTGCATTGAGACCGAAATTTCGAAACGGCCCATTGCCATCGCGGAAAAGAGACTTTATCGTTTCGATATTCGAGATATTAGTTAACACACATTTTTCAGGAAGAGACAATGAAGGATTATTTAAAAGTTAGGGAGTATTAGATTGATTGATTGGTACATGCCTGGAAAATTTGCACCGTGTAGAATATAACTGCGTTGATTCCTGACATTTGTTGGAATAACATTAGTCCCAAGGAAACGAGCAGTGGTTTCAGATTGTTGCTCTTCAATAACTCCGAGATCGTTCCCTGAGAGGCGTTTTGTTCGCTCTCGGCATGCAACTTTTCAATCATAGTCAATTCGTCGGTTATATCGGTATCCTTGCCGCGGAGCCATTGCAGAGATTTTCGTGACTTCTTCGTCTTTCTCTTTGAGATGTACCATCTCGGGGTCTCCGGGATCAGAAACATCAGAATCAGGAACGGTATGGGCAAACTTGCACCTACCAGCGCCAGGTTTCTCCAATCCAGATACATACCCGCCGTGAAGCATATTAATATTCCTGCGTTACACGTGAAATATAATAGCGAATATAGTTAATCATAATTTTGATTTTTATATATAAGGAAACGAATGTCGCGAACGTACGTATACGAGAAGAAAATTATAATTTTCTTTCATATAAAATTTTTTTTCAATTTTATTATGTTTTTTTTAGTAATGCAGGGATAGTAGAATTTATTATATATAGTAGGTAATGTTGTATCGTTTCGGCTCCACATATTGCATACAATTTTTTGTGGTGAATATTGGCAATTATTGACATCTTGATTTTCACTACATTGACATTGTGATCATCGAAATACATCTCGGTAGATAGTAAATTAAGGCAGATTGTCGATATGTTTCTTGGTTATAAAATTTGATAATAATTTTTATCATAAAAGATTCTCCGTGTAGATATTGAAGGGTTTTCGCGAATGTTCGCATTTGAATGTCTGAATGAGCATTTGGATTTTTTGTTTCACTTACCAGCATTACCAAAGGCGGTGGGCATCAAGCCAAGTGTACCGCGCACTTCTGTTTGTATAGTCTCGCCTAAGTACACAGGTAGTGATAAGGAAGCAACACCCACGCTAAACCCACATATTGCGCGCCCAACTAATACCATCGCGACATTCTGAGCCAATGCGATTAAAAGCCACGCTGCAATGAAATGTATCGTATTATCGTATCTTAATTTGATTATTTATACGCAACTATTTGTTAACAATTTACATAACACAGAGACTATGTGATGTTAACTAATCATTGTTGGAAATATGCTACACTGCATGTTTTGAAACTTACATCCGATGAATGGGAGCGCTGTGGCGACTATCGTGTTTCTTCTCCCGAGATACTCGATGCATGGCCCTCCAGCAATGCCACCGAAAAGTGCGCTTAAAGGCATAAGTGACCCGATCCACATACCCTGAAACATTAATTTAGAATATGATATTAATTTAGAGCAGTGATTCGTTACTTTCACTTTCGAAGCGATTTTCAAGAGCTACGTCTACTTGGTTCTCTTTACCGCTCCAGCACGCCACGCAACTGACGGTCGCGGCTTTCAGAGACGTTGGCGTTATAATATCTATGCGGCGCTTACTAATAGTTGAAAGAAATTTATTCATACAACTTGATGTATAATATCTTTATAAACCAATATTGTATTTATAATGTAAGTAATATATAAATATTAGTAGTTATACAATCAAGTTGTTCCAGTAAATTTCTTTCTGCTACTAGTAAACGCCTTATAGATATTATGATGTCAATGGCTTGAGGCGCCGTCAGCTGCGCAGCCCGTCGTTGGAACGACAAGGGGAAGTAAGTAGTTACAGCTCTCGAAAATCTCCTCGAGAGTGAAAGTAACACCGAGTATAATTTAGAGAATATTATAAGGGCTTAAAATTTGTTGACTTTTAGAAAAATTTCGATAGAAGACCATCGTCATTCTTTTGGAAATTTTTGATAGTTTGCATTAAAAGAATGCCGAAGTCGATGATTAGCTTGATAAGCTGGTAATGTATAGATGATTCTTAAAATATTACCTCCTTTTCCACAATCCTTTAGACATAAGTAGTAAGCAAATCAACGACGATCGATTTTTTTTCTAACAAACGAACGTGGTTGATCAGTTTGATTACTGTTTACGTCTTAAAGCAAGATTTTGGATAAGGATTATGTCACACTATCGATCACACTACTTTTTTATATTTCTTGTATATATAGATTCTTTGTACATGTAGATCTTCTATAGATATAAATGCGAAATGTGAGTGCAATGAATGTGCGTTGTTCTGTTTTATCATACCTCATAGAAAATCTAACCAAGATATACATTTTTTTTACAAACTTTTCGTATTTTTCTAAACTCTTTAACTTAATTGAAAAGATATAAACATATTATTTGAAATTGTATTGATTGACTATTTAGTTTATACAAACTACAGGATTTTTGGAACATGTAAATATTTACTCCAATTGATAACTAAAGATGTCAATTTTGAAAATTTTAATTTTTTTGTCACATCTTGAGCAATACTCCAATTCATTTTCATGTGTACTTTTGTTGTATAAAAGTATTTATAATTCTGTATAGGTAGTATGATGTAAAGTTTACAAAAAGAGTCAGTATTTTTTCCATAGTTTTCAAAAGTTTTCAAGTAGCATTCCTCGGTCAAGTGTTTGTAACTTTGTAAATATAACTTAAGAAAAAATTATAAAGGGTTAAGTTCGTAATGCGGCGCGCATCAGTAGCCTTCAATCGTGTGTATTTATCTTTTGAATTACTGTCGTGTACATCTGTTGGTACTCCTGACATAGTTTTGTTCATCAGAAGATCCTTCGAATACGAATAAGGTCGGGAAGCCGGAGAATGTCAAGGAAAACAATTGCGAAAGGCGACCATCGATCATTTTGGTTGCTCATTCGGTCAGTTGTGCCGTGGATTTTAATCAAGTCGGCGCAGAAAGAAGTTTCGAAATGTCTGCTTCGTGTTTAATCGAGAATTATTAAATGTAAAGTAATTGCCACCGTAAAACCGCTGTCAGTAATCTTAATATATTGAAGGAAAATTTATAATTACATTATAATTTTATACACACATAACATCATGGAAAAAAATTAATATCAATTCAAGATTCTATTCTCATATATATAAGTGAGAATATGTGATTTTATGAAAATAAAATTTTCTTACATAAAGAAATCCTGTATAGTTCCATTAAAAATATTAGATTATCCTACTCAAGAATCATTTTTCTGAACTAAAAGAAAAAAAAATTGTATAGATAGAACGATATCTTCAAATTGATATAATTCTTAGATTTGAAGATATTATTCTTTCTATTCCAATATTTTTCTTCTTATTTCATAAAAGTTATTCTTAAATGACAAGAATAATATTTTCAGTGGATATATATAGAATATGATATTTTAGCGGATACGTATATAGAACTTTTTTGTGTAAGTTTTATTCTTGCTTAATTAAGCGAATATAAATTTTCCATTGATACTAATTTTTTTTTCTGTGTACGTGAGTATGCATATACATAATAAACTTCTGCAGCCATTATAGTTATATAACTCCGCAAAATCAAAAGTTTCGTTAAACATGAAAATTTTATTTTTTATTACGTAACGTGCGACTCCAATATTTGCATTAACATAATTTTTTTAAGATTAAGAGTTGAAGCGCGTGGTTGTTTGTCCGTCTCGGAGCGCGCATACGCGGAAGTATATTGTTTACGCTTGCACACATATCTGGAAATAATTTCCGACATCGTCATGGGACTTTACGATGAAATCGGCGTGTCCGGAGGAACGGCCAATCGCCTTCGCGATCATCGAGGCACAACGGCTCTTCAACCAATAAGATTGTAATCAGGTCATCGTGCCCCTGACCACGCATCAATGACGCACTTGAGGTTAAGCCTTTTAATCATCTATTGACCCTTCGAATAACGAAGGTTGTATCTTTTTATACGTTCGTGGGGATCGCAATAATTTATAAGTGACGCGTTATGCCATTTATGTCCCACATTGCCGTTATCCTCCACTTTGAGCCGATATATGAAATATAGTTGTTTGTCAATAAACAATTCCTCCGGATTTTCCTACGACATCGTAAAACGAGCTAAAGTATTTTTATGCTGATACTTTGAGATCATCGATATCAGTTTGTAATTGATTAACGCCAGTGAAGAAAATTATTATATGTGCACGCGTGTAGCAATACATACGTTAGTTTATCGACGATTCTAAAGGTTGCGTTAAATTAATAATTACTCTGAAGTAAGCATGTAGATCAACTACGTCATCTTGCTATCGTCGTTATCGCGGGCGATATTTATTTCCTTTTTTCTTAATTTCGCGAAAATACGAACACGTGAATATATTGTATTTATGTTGTCATTAGATGAACAGATGAGGAATTCATATAATCGGCAGATTTTCAAACAAACGTGCCTGAAGCACGAATCTCGTAATCTTCGTTTCCGCACTCGACAGGATTGGATTCTCGCGTTCCTTCATGGTCAGACACTTGAAATTGCGATATATTATTCGAGCACGTTTATAAAACTTCTGTATATAATACGTCTCTGTAACCTTCGCATCCTTAACAAATTCGTAATATTAACAACATACTCGAGATATTACTGATAGTGACCAAGTGACATTCTGTTAATTTCCGTTAAGGAAAAATCTAACCAAAATTCGACTAGAATTGGTGAAAACGAAAAAAAGAACATTTATGAGAGCATCTATAGATGCGGCAGCGAATAAACTGTTGAAACATTAAAAATTTTATTTAGATATTAATATTTTTTTGCAAAGTACGTGCAAATTTTACATATGTTAACGAATGAAAATTACGATCAGTGGAGTTAATTAGAAGTGTGTTATACATCATAGCTAGCATTAAATTGTAAATATGCAAACAGAACAAATAAGACGCACGATCGACGAAAACTGACACGTAAGTTGCAAATATATCTCTTAGCGATTTCCGAAAATGGATTTTGACTTTTACGAGTTAAGATTTTACGACGTGTAGGTGACATAAGAATATAAACGATCATACTTACCATTTGTTTGCTAACTTCGAAACTCGTTGTGCTATTATCGCGCATAGATACTAATCCAGGTGATGTATAGGAGCTCGAGTAACCAATCACCATTGAACCCAATGATACTGATAATGCGGTCAGCACCTGAAAGTAAATAAATAAATTTCAGATAAAAGTAAATTACAAATAGTTTAAATCTATGCGAATATTTGAGTAAACTTTTATTTCTTAAGCATTTTTTTTTCATATTAATTAATTTCTCATTAACTATTACGAATTTTGCGAAATGGTATATGACTTTTCTGTTTAGTTTCACCCATTCTACCTACACTCTATGGGAATCGAGAAAGATTTGAGATACCCTATATATATATGTTCGCGTAAATTGCAAAGGGAGATATTGGAATAAATTCGAACGGCAAACTGTAAAGGACTATACGTAAACCATTGTACGGAATAAATTCAATCGGAAACCTGTCACGCAAAGAAGAAATAGTTACATATTCGTAATAATGAATATTGTTGCCATAGTAAAACTCGCGTATATTCATATAGCATACAAAAAAATTACACCTCATATTGTTAAATATATATATTTCTCTTCTAATTTTACCTGATGACAATACTATAGTTCTTTTCACGTAAATTCTTTTGAATTTTATCATTTTTTCTAATAACGCGAGAATAAAGCGTCAATAAAGTTGATCTTGTTGAAGAACATAATACATTTTTTAATGATACATTCTGGTTTCTAAAATATCAATAGCATATACGAAATGGAAGAATAATAAATTAAGGCAGAATATATTTCTTGATTACAAAATTATATAGTAAAATTTTTATTGTAAAATTTTCCCTATATACTATTGGTATTTATTATTTAGACGCATTCGATTTGAAGACTCGAAGAATCGGATCCAACACAATAATTTAATCGATATTCGATCAATTGCGCGATTTGCGTCATTCAAGTCGTACCAAAAAAGCTTGCAATGGTTTGTAATCACGTGAAAAATATCTTATTTTTGTAAGGATCGCAAAAGTATTTTTTAATATACGGAGAAAATTTTTTTGGGAAATATTAGCATTAGAAAAAATGGTTTTTCTGGCTTATTCGACTAGAATATACATATATCGTTCGAAACGTTTAAAAGTGGTATTTTTGTATACGTATGGTAATTTTTCATACCATAAAATTGAAAAAAATATTCGAACAAATTATTTATTATAATTGCTATAATATATAAATTTTTTTTTTAATATTTATTGCACCAATCGCCGTACGTGATGTAGCAACATGGTATATTATTCAACAAAAATCTCTCTCTGCGTATACATATAATAATAGTTGAACCAAAGCAGGAGACTGTAAAATCTTGTAAAATTTGTTGGAATGTGAACAAACAACTTTTATCGTGTAACTGTATCTGAAAACTTTTATCGTGTAACTGTGTCTGAAAACTTTTAAACACGAATAAAAATGTAAAATTCGAAAACTATCGTTCCACTTGACATTTCATTTGAGGAAAATTCTTTTCTAAATTAGCCCGAATAATACGTTACTAAAATTGAAACACCTAAACACAATATGTATGTTGACAGAAAATTATCGTCATAAAAATAAGCCCTTCGTGCAAAGAGTATCAATCTAAATCAGGATGCTACCTGAGTAAACGTGCATTTAGCTGCTGGCGCATTTACTGGTAGCTCGATGTTAACGTGCGTGTCCGCTCGTAAGAGAATCTTCATGATCACGTATATTGGACGTTAACAGAGGCAACAGGTCCGAGATTTCTATTGATTTGCAGGAGGAACCGAACAGTCCAAACTTGGTCGTTCCAGGACCGATCTCCTCGAGATAAGAATCCTGTTCTTCTGCGCGTCACTAACTATCAAGATCACGACTCCAGTATTGACTCAATTTAATCGACGATCGACGACCTAGGCTCGTACACTGTCGCGAGTGGAAATTTTTCGCGATGTCACGATACAACTATAAACTATTAACACTCGTAGACCGCGCCGGGCAGTCCTCATCTTATATAGAGAACGATGCTGGGGGCCGGCTATCCCTTCCCCTCGCAAATCACGTCGATCCATTCTTCGTAGATTATTATGACGATTTATGCTGACATGTGATGCGTTTTCAACCTACTTATGCTTTCGCGAAACGACCACTACAATGCTGGAAAAGATATATACGTTTTTTACATGGTGACTATATTTTCCAGAGCAGCTTCGGAGAGAGAGAGAGAGAGAGAGAGAGAGAGAGAGAGAGAGAGAGAGAGA